GGTTCTTGGGGGCCAGCGTGTTCCCCACAGCGGGGTGATGTCCCGCGGGTTTAATTCCGGTTTAGTGGGGTAAATTGCCTCTGCTTCTGTATTGCCTGACTGTTGCACCCGTGTTGCGCTCGCTGCAGCTGGGTAGCTTGCTGGTCAGGGCGCAGGCTTTAGCCTGGCCCGGTTTTGTGCGGTGGCAAGTACTAGGCCCAGTGCCTGTGTAGCCCGCCCCCCCCCGCCCCGAACCAGCAGTGCTGGTTGAGGGGCATCTTTCCGGCGGCTTTGTAGCGAGTTTGTTTTCATCTGATGTCGATGGTGTTCGGAGGTCAGGTTGGACTGCCTGTTGTCCTAGCAAACTCCATGTGAAGCCACTGGTGTTTTGTTGCAGAGTTAGTTCATCTAGCCATCCGCAAGGTTTATTAGATTAACCTTCACAAATAGTGGAAAGTGTTTGAGTGGTTTGTGGACCTCAGCTTTTGGAAAAATAGCATAGTTGTGTTTGTACAGTGCTTTAGCTAATAATTTTACTGGATTACTTGGTCCATTCACACTCCAATAATCTGATTATGGATAATAGTTATTACATATTAAAAAATATTTTAAAAAATCAAAGAACAGTCCTCAAACTCCAGAGTTCGTTGCATCCCAGAAGTTCAGGAGCTTGTTTTTGTGATACCTTTTGTCAGCAGGAGAGTTAGTATACATTTTGACTTTTCTTAGAAGGAATTCTCTTGTAATCACTGTAACTTGGATTCTAAGACTAGTGATTTGAAATCTTGACAGAAATACTGGAAACATGGAATTATAGTATAGACTTAAAAAACTCCCACCCAAACACTTGTGGATTTTCTATATCAAACTTTGATTATTTTTTTTTTTCCTGCACTATTTAGTTCTTTAACTTACTGCATACCTTTTGTTGTAGCGCTGCAGGCATTTGAACTGGTAATACAACCAAAACCAGACATTCCCTTACTCATTAGTTGTGTGTATGTGCGGCTGTGAAAAGACTGTTGACCCAAAATGTTGGGGCTTCATGCTGTTTTCTTCCAAATTTGTGGTCACAGTGAAGGATCAGCTGTTTTTTGTTTTTTCAAAAAAGATTACTACAGTCAGATAAAAGCGGGCCATATGTGTACACTTCTGTGTAACTTCTGCCTTGCTTTTCTATGACTGTGTTGTGAGCAGGATGAATACACTTGAAAATGACCACAAAAAGACAGGCTAGACGTAAGTCCACATGAAAGGACTGGTTTTGTTGCAACAGTGCAAATGTAAAGTCACATTAAATAATGTTGTTAGTGGCATTCATTAAGTTCTAAGTAAAAAATTAAGAGATTTAATAGGTAAGTATACTTCTTGGCAGGTCTAATGTAATGTTTTTCAACTTCTCTTTTAAAGAAACTGAAGAAGTTTTTAAAGTGAAGAAATCAAGTTACAGCAAAAAGATTGTAAAACAATTGAAGAAAGAATACAAAGAAGATCTTGAAAAATCAAAAGTTAGAACAGAGGTCAATTCTCCAACAGATGGTAACTGCAAAACTTAACAGTAGCTTTTGTAATGGAAAAGATTGAGTGTTGTAAATACAAATTACTTGTTTTCAAGGTGAATTGTTAGTCTGCTTAGAGGATTTAGCATGTAGAACTGAAGTAAAGCATGCATTAAATGTGTTCATGTGAACCTTACAAATGCTGTTCTGAAGCTGGTAGAGAGTTCTTTGATTCTCATGTGGAAATGAATGTAGAAGGCTGAGACTTCTCAGCTATGTATACAGTTGTCAGTAGACCTCAGTAGTTTTTGTAGCTCTGTTTGTCAAATGAGTTTCTTCCTACTGAATTAGGAAGGAACTGAGTTAGTTTAGAACTGTGCCTGGTGCTTATCTGACAGGATTGTGTCCTTGTAACTCCTCTTCTTGAAAAGGAAGATTTTTGGGGTGAGCAAAGTGGTGTTTTTTGTTATTAAGTAAATTATTCAACAGCTGCCTGTTTCAGGATTTGGACCTTAGAGTAGACTTGGTGATGAAGATGACAGAATGAAAGTGTTGAAGCAGAAGGATCTTTTAACAGTGTACAGTCCTCCATAGCTTGGAATAGAACCTGGGATTTCAGTTTCATTGTACTACTTCTCTTGGGTTTTGGGAACCTTGTTGGTAAAGCATAATGATTCTTTTTCCACTTAGTTTTTGTGTAGATGAGTAACTCATAACGCTATGAGCACAAGCTGAGAGGCTTATGATCTAAAGGTTGCAATAGTATAGCTGAAGCATATGAGAGTTGAACATACTCCTGTGCAGAATATTATCCCTTTTTAAATTAATTAAATTAGGTTTTTTTAAATCTTAAAAATTTTTAAAAGGTTTTGTCTGCATTTTAAAAACTTACAAATTCTTTCCTACTAGAATCTTTTAAGTTGCCTATGCAGTGGTATGGGGCAAGAGCAAAACCAGAAATGATCGTTTCTGTGACTAAAGTTCAGTTGATCTGTGGAAATGTGGATCTTAATCTTCTGTCACAAACGTCCTTAAAAAATTGCATTTTGCATGTGGCTAGTGCGTGCCGATTTTCTGTTTGTCTGATTTGCAGTCTCTGTAGTTGGTCTGGTTATAGTGCAAAGACCTTGTGGCTGCTGCGGAGTCAGTAGTCTGGATTCTCTAAACAAATGCGAAAGTCTAAAAACTCAGATATGTGTGGCTTGGATTGGATAGCTGGATTTAACGTGCATTTTTTAACATAATGTTTACTTCTGCCTGTATCTAGATATTACCCACCTAACATAAGGTAGAGGTCAGCCCAAGAGGAAAAAGAAAGGGTTCTTTTGAAATGAGTCTGATTTTGTTGAAAGATTTGATGTAACACAGGCAGTGTTTTCTAATTACATACATAAGAGGCTGTGTGAAGGTTGCACATATGATCTTAATTATTGAGTTCCCTCAATTTTTTAATACTTGGCAATATGCAAACTGCTTAGTGGTTGTTAGGGTGTCTGCTTTGTCAAATTTTATTTTGAGAGGTTGTCAGTGACTTAATCACAATTAAGACATGTTTTACTAGATCTCGAACACTAAGATTATCATTTGACATTTTAATTTGATTTTTACTTTCAGTTGTTAGACCTTAAAAAAGTATTTCCGAGTCATCTTTATAAAAGAGTAAAACATGGACTTTGTTGTCTTACCAGTCGAACCACCACTAGAAAAGTCAGGACAGATTAAGGATATAGGTCAAGAAGATGGGACTGCAAATAGTGAACATGGTGAAGAAGAAATGGAAGTTGAAAGTGAGAAGGAAGAAGAAAAACCAAAAGCTGGTGGGGCTTTTTCAAGTGCTCTGTCATCACTGAATGTTCTCCGCCCAGGTTGGTTATTGTAATACATCTGACATGTTAAAAAATGTTTTAGCCAGCGTTTACAGCAGACTAATGTATTTGAGAGGTTAGGATATATTTTCCAGCAACAGATCCAGCATCTGAGAATTCAGGAAACTGCTATTTTCCGAAGCTGTTCAATTTTACAAACCTTGTGAGAGAAAAAGTTTTACTACAGAGTGCTTCATCTTGATGTTAAAAGCAGGAATTTGTCTCTCAAAGTGATGACAAACTGTTAGAAAATGTAGATTTGGAATAGGTGACAACATGAATTTTAACTGCTTTCAATTAAAATTCTGTCTTTAGTTCAAATGTCTCAGTTACAGGTCTGCAAGCTATCTCAAATTTCTCCTATCTCGTTTTGTCTACTGAGGTTCTAGTCAGGCCCTGAGGCCGAACAAATCAGTCTGAGAAAGCATTTTTGAAACTAGTTTACTAATTGCTAGGGAACTTATGGTAGCCTGCTCCCCAAATAGAAGATGGATGTCCTGGCTCTGCAGACTTAGACATATTTCAAGGGAAAAAGAATTTCTTTGTTGACCCCCAAATAATTTTTCTTTTTAGCGGTAATTGCAGAGTGGTGCGAGATGTACGTTACTGCAGCTCTAAAGATATTGCTGGCTTGAATAGCGCATCTCATGTCAAGTATAAAGAGATTCTGAAATTTAACCTTTTGTGCGTGTTTAATCAAAGTAGTGGTAAAAATTACTCATGTTTCAAAAATTTTATTTTGGGGGACCACTGTTTACATGATGTATGTAAGTTGAATTAATTTTGTGCTAGGGATTTTAGATTTTTTAATTAGTCTGCTTTTCTTGTTTCCCCTCGACTGTAGAGTCTCTCATACTAGCTTTGTCTGGTTTGGTGTCCTCTTAATCTCTGAGCTGACATCATCTGTTGAAATGGCCGATGTTTTTTGTTCCCCCAAAAAAAGAGGAGTTGGGAGCAATATCAGGATGGGAAATGACACAGTCGAGAACCTGTGTTTTCTTCCTCCCTTTGTAATAGTCAGCTCCTGTAAAGGGCTTCCTCTTCTTTAGGAATATTTCCCATAGGAACATCAGGCTCCTGCTTTTGTAGCACGTGAGCTGCTGGAAGCAGAGCCAGACTTTTGGGGACTATCCCAGCTTTAAGGGTTTCTGGTCAGAAAGTTTGCATGTGCAGCTTGTAAGTTGCTTGCAGATGTTTCTGTGAGTATGGATTTTTTTTTTTTCCTCTCACGTTTTTTTCTGGTTGCAAAGATGATTTGGTAGGTGGCAGAGATGAATAATAAGAAGTCATAATACCTGTTTTGTTGCAGTGGTTGTTTAACAGTGCAAACATCTGTCTCTAGGAGAAATTCCAGATGCTGCTTTTATTCATGCCGCTAGGAAAAAGCGTCAAATGGCTCGTGAACTTGGAGACTTTACCCCCGTTGACAGTGAACCAGGTAAAGGCCGCCTTGTTCGAGAAGATGAAAACGATGCCAGTGATGATGAAGATGATGACGAGAAGAGGAGGATAGTTTTTACAGTGAAAGAAAAATCCCAAAGGCAAAAGATTGCTGAGGAAATAGGTAAAATCTTTTTAGAAGGACAGCTGATAAACATTCACACTGTTTTCAATGCAACTGCTCCCATTCAACATCTTCCAACAACGCATTTTTCAAATAGGCATGAATCTGGAGTTGTTTTCCATTTCTAGGGAAAAGTACTGCATAATAGAATCTGCATATAAAATTTTGAGCACAAACTACGTTCCTCTGCTTAGAACACCACAACTCTGCTGAATCTGGTAGAAACTTATGCAAAGGATCAATTACTGTTGTTCCTGTACTTTGTTTTAGGAAGTATATAGTTGTAAAAAGAAAAACGTTAGTTCTTTGGTATAGCATTCTTGCTGACAAGCAGGTAAAATAATGTTTTGGAAAAGGAGAATTAATAAGATATATAGGATTTTAACATTAGAGTATTTTACCAGCAGTTATTTGCAAATTTACCCATTGGATTTTTTAAATGGAACCTCTGTGATAATAATTCACAGGCTAATGTCCTTAATTGCTCTTGAGGAGGAAAGGAGGATGTGCTGAGATGTTCCCACCAAAGCATTGTCTCTCAGGTATTTGAACTCATGGCCCTTACTGTGAATACATTATCTTCTCTTTTTTGCTCGTATTAAGGTATTGAGGGAAGCGATGATGAAGCGCTGGTGGCAGGAGAGCAGGATGAAGAACTCAGTAGATGGGAGCAAGAACAGATACGGAAAGGAATCAACATACCTCAGGCACGTATTTAGTTGTGAACTTTTTGGTTTGTTTCTGCCTATATTGGCTATATCCATTACAAACTTGAGTAGTTTACAGAAGGCTGTTTCCTCTGAGAAGTTCAGTGTGTAACTTCTGATATTATTTGAAGAGAATGAGAGGTCGGATTTTAAGTATCCAGTGGTATCCATTTCATGAGTCTTTCTGTTCTGAGTAGATAATGATTGTTTGTGGTGCAGTTAACAAGCATTTATTTGCAGCTTAAAACAGAGCTAGAGTAATGCCACTTTGCAGAGACCTCTGTTCTTGTTTATCATTGAGTTTGCAGAGTGTATGTTTCTTCGGTATTTCTGTATCTTGTGTTACAGCATAAAGTTGGAATTTGTAGCCAGTTGTACCATGTATTGTTTGTGTACTCGTAGTGAAGTTGCCACTCGGTCGGAGAGGATAGGTGGGGTTTTTTTAAAAAAAAAAAAAAAAAAAAAATTGCAGCAAAATCACAACCAAACATGCTGACTCTAGGAACCTATGTCATTCTGTTAGTCTTAGCAAAATTTAGTATAGTCCCAAACACTTGGTTACTGTAGGAGTTACAGGCTGGTTAAAATTGTCATTTAATAACTTGTTATAAGTGTAAATATTTAGAATGATAACAATACTAGGAGTTTGTCCATTTAAAGTGCTTCTGAGGGAATTTGTTTCTTCCACCTTAGGTGTCGGACATTCTACACTTAAATCCACTCGATAATTACATCTTGTAAATGTACCTGCCTACATTTTTCACTTTATAACATTTGAGATGTGAAAGAAAATAAGTTTCTCATTTCTTTAAGTTCTAATATAGTACAATTTCCTCTTCCATTAGGTTCAGCCAAGTCAGCCTGCTGAAGTGAATAATCTGTACTACCAGAACACGTACCAGACACTGTCTTATGGTTCATCATATGGCATTCCATACACTTACGCTGCGTATGGATCATCGGAAACCAAGTCTCAAAAAACAGATAATACAGTTCCTTTCAAAACTCCCAGTAATGAGATGACTCCTGTTACTATTGATTTGGTAAAGAAACAGCTTAAAGACAGGTAGGACAGACCATCTTTTTAGACTTAAAGACCTGTCCCCTAGCTTTCTGTTCCTCAGGCATCTTTTAGTCTCGGTGAGCAAACACAGAGTTTCATCGCTGGAAAAGTACTGACTGGCACATCCACTGAAAAAAAAAAAGGGGGGCAAACAAAAAAAGCTCAGAGTGAAGATGACATTGACACTTTGTTCGAAAATCTCCTTGGATTGCTTCTATGGAAGTGAAGCTTTAAATATGAGGCCATTGATCTTGTTGAAGACAGGTCTGAGTTGCATCTTCTGGACACTGCACAGTCTTATAGTCAAGAATTGAAAGGCCAGTGAGGTGTTTAGCTTGTCAAGGTGCATTCTTTTGAACTGTGAATCAGATTTTTCCCCTTCAGTAGATAAAGAATTTAAATTTTAGTGTATGCAGGGTTTTTTTTAGTTTAAACACTGTAATCTGCTTGTCAGGTTCGCAAAAGGTCATACTGAATGAACAACCCAATGGCAGTGAGAAATCATTTGTAACGAACAACTTGCACTTTACATGTCTTCAAAATTGGTCTGTATTCCCCTTGTAGTGTTACAGCCTTTGACAGTAAATCAGGTTAGAGGAATAAGACTGATTTGTTATAAGCTATAGTTCTTCACTGCTCCTCCCACCCTCGTAAAACCTTTCCTCCCAGTTTTACTTTAGAGCCAGCCTTGCACTATTCTAAGTGCTATCAACTCCTGCAAAAATTTGTGTGAGTATGCACAGCATAGTCTAGCAAATGAATTTAAACCGTTAGCCTTGCTGTTCGTGTAGAGAGGGGAGAAAGGGAGAAATGAAAGTTAGAGAATATGTCTTTGCAGTATTTCCCATATATAGACTTGTACTTGCACTGTCTGTTTAATATCTCAACGGTCTGAAATATACAGACTTTTGGATGTAAATTTGCTATTTATCCGTTGCCCTTCAGGTTGGACTCTATGAAAGAATTGCACAAAGCTAATCGGCAGCAATATGAGAAACATCAGCAAAGCCGAGAGGACTCTACCAAGGCAATTGAAAGATTAGAAGGGTCTTCTGGGGGTATTGGTGAACAGTATAAGTTTTTGCAAGAAATGCGAGGGTATGTCCAAGACTTGCTTGAGTGTTTCAGTGAAAAGGTAAGGACGCAAAAACATTCATCTTTCTTTAAAAAAAAAAAAAAAAAAAGGGGGACTTAGTACATGCCAAACACCACACCTCCCTCTGTTTTTGAAAAAAGTCCCCAGAGAACATACTCTTCTAAAGGTTTGGTTATTTGAGGGTTGAAAAGATAATTTTTCATCATGATAAGTTGGTTATCAGAAACCTCTCTTTCACTGTGTAAGAGATCGCTGACCTTACGTTGCCTAAAAACACATCTAGGTTATGTGTCTTTAGAGTTTTGGTAGCTATTCTGGCATTTCAACTTTACTGAGATGCTGCTTTTTACTTGTGCTGGATATCAGGTTTACAGAAATAAGGGCTGAATTACAACATGGCTAGTTTCTGGAATGCTTTATGAACACAGTAACAAAGACTTGTATTTTGTGTGTTTTGTAAAGTTCCTCCTGCCAGGCAGTTTCACATACTTGGTATTGCTCTAGTGTCTGAAGGAGAGAAGTTTTAAAACTAGTGTAGCTGTCTGAAGACACCCAGACTTAAAAATATACTTCTTTCATGTAGTGTGATACTTTTGTATATGTCTAACTTGAACACAGTCTTTCTTTCTTATGTTATTCATTATGCTTCGATTACTTTATTGTAAATATAACAGGAGCTCCTGAATATATATATATATGTATGTATGTATATCACACAGGAGCTGTAAAATTCAGTTATCAGTACACAGGCTATCTCTTCATTGTCTTCTGACTTGAACACCATAGTATAGTATCCTCTTAATACATTAGCTGTCAGAAATGCTTGAGTGATTGAAGCTACTGCTTACCTAGCGTGTTACGTGTGGGAGAGGCATGTAAAAGCATTCTGGTTGCGAATCGGTTAGACGTTATTTGTCCGCCGTTAGTGGTATCGGGAGAGTCCCATCGTCAATCCTGTAAGCTGAAGAACGGTACGTTGTGAACAAACCCAGGAAGTGTGGAGCAGTTCGTTCACCCAGCTGACTGATTAGTTACAATAGATACTGTTCACTGAAGAAGCGGTATTCCTGGGGGTGTTATTGGCATTAGCTGTTGAGGGGTAGTGAAGGTGCTTTCCTTTGCAGCTCTGTCAGTGCTGGTTGCCCAGATGCCTAAATTCCTACTAAGGATAACTTCTTATATTCTTTCTCTGAGATAAATTTGTGTTTCAGAAGAAAAGTTAAGTACTTGCATCTGTATTCAGCATTTACTTTCAAAAGACCTCTTGTTAAATTTCTTTTGTTGATAGCTATAAGCCATGTCCAGACGTTCTGTTTGATAGCCCATGCTGTCTTGTTCAAATACTTTCTTTAAACAGATTTTTGTTCAGTGCACCATTCTGAGTATAAACCAAGCCTTTTAGTCTCCCAGATTTTGTATAAACCAGGAAAACTTACTGTTAAACAATAGTATAAGTAATTCCGTTCAATTCGTAGGAAGGTTATTGACTTATCTAGCTATACTAGTAAATAAATCAATTTCAGCCATTATGCAGCAAATTAGTTGCTGATAATTTAACACAAGACTTGTTAAAGTTGCATTCTTACAGTACACCTTTGCTTTCCTGGTAGTTGGCCTTTTAAGCATTCTATACCTGGACACCTTCTTCCCCCTTCCCACCCTCCCCATACCCCACCCACCATGCCAGTCCATTGAACTTTTCAGATGTGATTTTTATCATCCCGTGCTTCTTAGGAGCATTCACAGAGTTCTGCAATTTTCAGTTGGATGCTGCTGCGGTATCTGTATGTATAGTGAGTTGCAAGATGAGGAGTTGACGCAGTCAGTTTAACAGGAGGATTTAATTTATTGTGATGTCCTATATATTCCTTAGTTCTTTGGTCAGATAATCTGTTTTGGAATTCAGTGCTTTTAGCATGACAAAAGTACTATCAAATTCAAATACGGTAGCCTACAGGACACTGCAAAGTTTTCTAAAAAGGAGGTGGGGGACGGGACAAAATAAAGTAATAGAATCAGTATCAGTTTTTATTTAAATGAAATAATGAAATGCAGCAGGGCAGTAAACTCTTCTCTTTAGAGATAAATTACCTTCAGCTTTTCTGTAGAACCTGTGGCCCTGGCTACTTCATATTTAAAGTGTGCGTGTTTATAGTATATAATGTATGTAGTTGTTAAGATTATAACATACATAAGCGTATAAACTGTGTATCCGTATGTGTAAGAACAATATTGTGTGTGTTTATGTATACACATACATATATGAACACATATCCTAAGTATGTATAAAGCTAGGTCCCTCCCTGTCTTTTCGAATATGCTGCTTTGATGCTTTCTCTTCATTTTATTAGGACTAGTCATGGTTATTAGTCGAACTGACATTGGTACTGATCTGAGTGAGAAAGTGGTTTGCTGAAGAAGCACTAATGGGTTCACAGTATACTTGTCCCCTCCAAAAGAGTCCGTTTCCCTAGAGTTTGCTTGTATGTCTGTTGACTTAGTTCTGGAGAACAAAAAACATCATCATAAATTAGATTTTCTTTCCCCTACCATCTTATTTCTGCACCTGTTTGTCACGCTTAATCCTTCCAAGCAAAACCATTTTGTTTGTATGCTGTTTTGAAGAGATTCTGAATGTTAGAACACTTTGCTCACTGGTAAGGTGCAGTGAAGGGTGTAATGAAGCAGCTATTATGCAAATTTTAGAAACAAGCAATAGAAATGTCAAATCCTCTGTGATGATTTTTTTTTTTTCCCCCGTAAATGATAAAACCAATGGAGCATAAGATGCTTGCTTGACTTCCTTCACAAGTAATTACTGTCAAAATTGTGCTTTCTGAGAAGGCTAGAAAGTGGTAACGGTGTCTTTACGTTTTCAGTATAGGAATATGCAAGGGATACAGGAAGATTAAATTGTTCTGAGCTTATCTTTGGCATCACACTTAGATGAACTGCTATTTTACCTGCAAACGCAAATTATCAAAACGCATTGTGTGTGTCAGAGAGGGGGACCGTAGGTTAAAATTATCGTTGTCATCTAAATGTTCAGAGATCTTTCCACTTTTCCTCTTACACTGTTTACAGTGTAAGTGAAAGCGAAGGGGAAAAACCCTCAAAACGCTGAATTTAAGGTATTGACTAGACAAAAGACAATGTAGGAGGGCTGTAACTTTATAGTAGTCAGTGGAATTGTCAGTCATTCATCCGCCACAGTATTGATTACAGAAGAATAACAGCTCCTCTTGTGTTTTAAATGGGAATTATTTTTAGTGGATTCTGAATATATAGCTGTTTGGGTGGTTGGTTTTTTTAATCCTGAGGCAATTATAGAAAAAACTTTTAGGGATGCTTTGAAAAATTTTCCTTTAACGTTTCAATTTTAGAATTCCATTTCTCAAGAGAAGAAGCTGTATTTTCTATGGTAAACTGCAGTAAAACTAGTGGTTTGGGGGTTTTTAATTAATATTCCTGGTTTCAAAATTGTCTTAAATTTTGAATATACACTTTGAGCACTGGGATATTTCCTCCTTCTATTTCTTTCTAATCTGTTTTCTCCAGAAGAAAGTTGTGCGTATTTTGAGTTGGTGCAGAATTGCTTTCATTTTAATCCCTGTAGCCCAGTTTATACCACAAAGAGCTAATATTTTTTTTCCTGTTAATATCTCCTCTGATACGTGTGTCATTCTCAGATAGCTGAAATGGCCCTGTAGCTATAGTCTCATAATCTTCTATTTTACTGGAGGAGGTTCTTGAATAGCTGCTGAGTCACATTCTAAATCAGGAAACAATTTCTGTTTTTATCTTTTGTTTTGAAAAAAACTTAATCATGGATGGTAGGCAACAATGAAATATTTGAGCTAAAAGGCTGGAAGACTCTGGACTAAGCATGTATCTTGGAGGTAAGGAGGATATGGCTTAAGTGTTCGTACCAAAAGGACTTGCCTTTCCAAATTAAGAGATTGTGAAAATTCTGGTTTGCATTAGAATGTCTATAATAATCTAACTTTAACTTGTCCCGGAAAATGAATTTTTGCGAAAGTGAGCAGTGAATCTGCTATTTAATATCAGAAAATTCCTGGTTTTGTAACATCGTCTATTTTTGTTATAGTTGCTACTGAAATTTAGTCCACTTAAAAAAAAAAAAAAAAGAAAAAAAAAAAGGGGGGTGGCAGGTCTGATCCAACTTAAATCTGTATCGTTCAAAGGTTATGCTTAATGCATAACTCACACAAACTGTATAATTTTAATGATAGGCTAGAGTATTTTACTGGTTTGAATTACCTGTTGGCCTAACATGCTTAAGCAGTGGTTTATTGCATTTCAGTAATAATATTTCAGCATATGCTAGTCAGAGTTATAGCAAAACTTAAGTTTAGCGAAATCTAACCTCCTGTTGGCTGCAGGAGGTTAGATTTATGCTTTGTTTGTTCACTGTATACAGTCAGGTTATTTTCTCATTAACGTGTAGAATACTACTGCATTCTTGTTTGAAGATAGAGAGGAAACGATGAGGTCTGAGAATTGTAAGCACTGTAACACAGTATGTAATGCACTTGGAAGAGACCACAAGAGTGCCTGAAATAACATTTCACTCTCCAAAATGGTTGTCTTACTGTGTAGGTGCATTCCATCCACAGAAGTTACTTTCAGAATGCTATTGCTACGGTTGAAAGCTGTCAGCGTGGTTAAATGCATGCGTTTTCTTCACGTTGAAATATTTACTGGTCCGAATGATACGAACGGGTGAAAGGAGACAGTTTGTCCTGCTAGAAGTACAGTGACAGCATTATGCTTCGGAATAGTATGGTACCCCAGGAACTAAACACCTGAAGAACTTGGTATTACGTAGTGTGTTGTATTTTTACAGGTGCCTCAGATTAACGAGCTTGAGTCCGCAATGCACCAGCTGTACAAACAGCGAGCTTCCCGCCTTGTCCAAAGACGACAAGATGATATTAAAGATGAATCTTCGGAGTTTTCAAGCCATTCAAGTCAGTCCATCTTGAAGGTTTTTATTATTCATTAAACAACCTTGTTTACTTAGTATGGCTTAATTTAAATGTAAAAGTTTGAAGTATGACTGTCTTAAAGTTTATGCTTATTCTTGAGATAGATAGAGCAAGTTTAGCTAAAAGTTCTCTAATCTGTTTTGTTTTAAGCTCAAAGCCACTCTAACTCTGACTTCATCTCTCCTTTCTGTTGCTCTTAACTATGTTTTCTCTTTCCTAGCACTGAAAATGTATGCGTGGTGGCAGTGGTAGTAGTGGTAGCATGTGACTCCCAGTTTTCCTGTCATGTCAGGACTTCTTTTTTTTTTTTTTTTTTTTTAAGCTCCTTGAATCTATAAATTTCCTGTAACATCTGCAGTTAACTGTACAAAGCCATGAAGCACCGGGCTAGAGCTGACTTCAGTCTGATGCTGTATTTTGTAGGCAGCATAAGTATTTCATTTCAGACACTTAACTGGTAAAGCTAAAGAGCTGGAAGAATCTGGTGCTATTGTTAAAAATCAGTGTGATACAGAATGACCCTATATGAAATACAGCTTAAAATTAGCCAGATAAAATACCTGATTACTGTGAGTGTGTGGATGGGGGATTCTCACTGAGGAGTTTTCTTGTGGTGATTACTCTTCAGTATGTAAAACTAGTAAAGTATAAATGTGAACTTGGATGGAAATATATGTTCCTTGGATGAGGTTTTATTCAGCATGTTAAATGACAGGTAAAATATCGTACTAATAGTAGTCGTCTTTCTGTTTTGGTAAGCTTCCCATTTTTAAAATTGACTTTCTCGTCTATCCTATTGCTGACCTAAAATCCTCTAATAAAAGCCTTTTCCTATTCTGTCACGCTGTGTCCGGAGATCAAATTTTGTTAATAACATTAGATAGAGCTTGATAAAGCATTAGGGCATCAGAGTTGGTCATCCCGTTATGGAGTGGTTAGCATACGTATTCCCTTTGGGACTTTATTTGGAGCCCCGGGCATCTCATGTCAGCCTTGTGGTTTTACCATGAAAACGCTGTTGTGAGAACTAGAAACCTAATGTACTAGAAACATATTTCCTAAAAGAAGCTTAGAATGGATTATTCTAGATGGGAACTTAATGGTGGGGTGGGAATATTTGTCATTGTCAAGGCTGGGTTTTAGAGAGAGGTCTTACTTAGTATCGGGGAGTCTTCAGAATGAATTTAGCTGTGTCTAGAAATAGTTCAGTTCTGCCCCTTGTATTATCACAAACTAGGAATTGATGCCAGCCTTCGGTTTGATATGTGTGTCAGACATAGATCATCTGCTTTTCTTCATACAGTGTCAGAACACTAAAGGGCTAGAAGTGAATTTAACTTTGTCTGGCAACTTTTGCTTACTTCTGCGTGAAGATAAGTAGCTTAGCCTTGAATAATGTTTTAGAAATTGAACAAATGATGGCTTCATCTGTACGTTAAGGCTCTTGGTAGTTCTGCTATAGAATTGGAATACTGACATAGGTCATCGTTAATATTTTTAATGATGGATTTGTAAATAGATGTAGTTAGAACATGTAAATATACTCCTGAAATCTGGGTAGGCTTTTGTTTAAATTTTGATGTTGATATTTTAGGAGGTGCACTAGAGCACTGGCTAACAGTCAATCCACTTAAAAAAATTTACCTGAAAACATCTTCACTAGTTAGCTGTGTTGTTTTCTATATTCAGGAACATATATAATGAATCACAGCTTAAAAAGAGGAGGGAAGATAATTTATTTTCCTGTAGATTTTGATGTGTTTTAAACTTTAAGCAATCTAAAGCATATGAATGTAGAAAACACTATGTCTAGAACTCTGAAATAGCATATATCCCTGCTCCGGTCACTCTTCTCTGCCTTTCTTTTTGTTCATTTTCTTTTCAAAAGATACATGGTGAATGGGTTTATGCAAGGAGCACTTTTTGTCTTGGAACATTCAATTTAAGCATTTTCTGTTAAAATTTGACTTTTATATAGTTGGGTAGTGTTATGCGAGGGGTAAGAGTGAAGTATGGTGAAAACGATCTGACATTTAAGTGGAGATTTTTCCAAACTCCGCTATTGCCTCTTTTACACTTGCGAATTCAGGCTTCTGGGTGCATCTTTTTGCAAACTTTGACTTTCTACTTCAAATCACACTTGGTTTGAAGTAGATAAAAGGCTCTTATGAAACTGCCTGCAACACATTTGTATACTCATAGTTAAGCATTTTAATTTTCATCAATGTAATTTTACAGATAAAGCACTGATGGCACCAAATCTTGAATCTTTCGGACGAGACAGAGTGATCTATCAAGAACAAGTAAAGCGTCGGACTGCAGAAAGAGAGGCTAGAAGGTAAAGTACTGAGATTTCTTGGCCATTGGGAGTCCTTGCCTGCTTGCAGAATACAGTTGTCCTGCGTGACATACTCACACAAGTAGCATTTGCTTCATTCCTGCAAAGGGAAGAAAACAAGCTGGTATGCTGGGCAGGGCTATTCTTATATATCCTAACTCGTCATGCAATTGTACAAGACAAGGCACCGTTACATGATACTGATTTAAAATCACTAAAAGAAAGCATAGTAAACCCATTCCGTATCTATATGGTTTCTGCTGGTTTCTCTTTCTTTTATTGTTTGAGGCAGCAACATAGTGGAATGTTTGAGATGGTGACATAGTGAAAGTTTTTATCAACGTGGATTTCCTTGCATTAAAAGTTGACAAGTATAGGTCGGTCTGTTCATTGTATAGGGAGGGGAAAAAGAAAGTAATAGCTGGTTTGTAATCCTGATCCTTTTCAGAGCTCGTCGTAGACAAGCAAGAGAGCAAACTGGGAAGATGGCAGATCACCTTGAAGGCCTTTCCAGTGATGATGAGGAAACTTCGACAGATATTACAAACTTCAACATGGAGCGAGGTTAGAAAAGCTACTGAAGTTTAATTTAACTAAATACAGAAAATTTGGCAGAAGAAAAAAGAAATTGATCCAAATGCAGTATTTGGGTCAAAAATTGATCCTGTCTATATATTTCATCGAATTTTGGAGAAAGTTTAGTAACTGTTCCTTGCTGGATCATCAATGTGACCAAAACAGTCTTTTTTGCCAATCTGTTGTGCAGCTTACAGCTAACTAAATACCTGATCCTTAGTGAGATTCTTTTTAATTCAAACATTCTACTGCTGGCAAGCAGTAAGCTTTTGTACCTTCAATGGGTACTATGTCTTCCTTATAATTTGTAACATGGTTTATCATTCTTCAAATATCTGTTTGTTTTACGTGTGAAATTCTGAAAACCTCAGTGCTTTAGAAGCCTTTTTTTTGCTTGAAAGGAAGTATTTTCTGAAGTTTTGCATAACCATCTAGAAATGCAATGACAAAAGTTTTGTAGACTCTTGTTACAGCCTGGCAAACTTCGCAGATGGCAGAAAACAAAGTCGAATGCAGACATTGCAGAAAGACCCTGTGGTACTCACTTGATTTGAAATTCATCTCCAGTTTTATGATGATTTGCTCAAAGTAACCATTATTATGCAATTATGCATAACCTTGATTGTGCAATAAATGGGTTTGTAAGTTAAGCTGATGCCTCTAAGGCACTGGGAGAACTGCAAGAAACCTGAAATTTGGGGAAGTGTGGATAGTTTGATGGAGCAGTCGTCTTTTACAGCAGCAGTTAAAAGGCAAACAGTTCCAGTGGTTACTGTGTAACCGGTAGCAAAGAAAGTAGAACATCACTGTAGTGATCCTGGTACCTTCTCATTTTGAACCTCAATACGATTGTCGTTCTCTCTGATTAAAGAGAATTTAATCAGATTGGAAAAAATGTGGAGAAGGGGAGCAGCAAGGATGACATGTATAGAATTGCTGGTGTTGTAAGGAAGGATTAAACAGTTTTGGACTCTTCAGCCAGGAGAATGATGTTGACTTTTCACAGTATGAGAGCTAGGGGACATGAAATGAAGTGATGGATAGATTTAAAGTAAACAAGTCACCTCCCACAGAGTATGTAATAAAAATGCCAGAATCATTGCTGTAGATGGTTGTGGAGACCTAAAGTATGAAGAGATGAAAAAAGCAGTTAGATGAACTGCCTAGCAGTTGGATCCTTCAGAATTGCAAACAGTTTCCACACCTTTAATTGCTGGCTGATTTACCAAAATTGTGAATGCAGGGAGAGCTCTTTGATAACAACCCTGAACAATTGCTTTGCTTAGGTGCTGTAATTAACTTTGCTAAGTTAAATGATCTGGATTAAAAATTCAGTGTGGCCGAATTGCTCTTTGTAATTTGGGCACTTTTACGCGTACAAGTCTTTTATAGCTGTTTCATCAGCTTCTGAGTAAGCATAGTATTTCTAAAACTCTTTTTCTATCATTCATAGCTCTCCTGTTAGTCCAGAACCGTTTGACAGTGAGCTATATGGAATAGAGGGATGCACTTTGGGCCTGCTGACTTTATTTGTAGCGTCTCTTTTTCATCCTAATGTGAAAAGCGTGCTTATATGAGATAATCTCATGTTCTCTGAGCCCTGTCTCTACCTGTGTACTAGTAATGTTAGTTGTGTACAGGTTCCTGATGTAACTGAACATTTCAAACTGTGGCTGCAGAAAAAATGACTGATTAATGTGAAACTAACCCTGGGAAGTAGAAAAGATGAAGGGAAAATAATATCTAGAGAAAAAAATTTTGGACTGCATGGAATACTGGTACTGTAACAAATTAAAAAAAAAAAGTAAGGCAGGCGCTAAGGGTTTGTAACATTGCCCAGTGCCAACAGCTATGTTGTGTTCAGCAGTTTAGCGTGGTCTTTGCCAGGACTAGCTCTGTCTGAAGTGCCAGTTCAGTTGGCTTGTCTGAGAAGCCCTCCTGTACTTGCACTTGGATGAGCAAAGTTGTAGAATAAGTTGGGTTAGAAAGAACCTGGGATCAACTGTTCCAAACTCCTGTGCAGAGCAAGGTCAGCTTTTAAGTTAGATCCGCACTGAATGCAGCCCAATATATCACCGGTCCAGTGTCCAGTAACTGAAAATCATGGGGTTTTGGGGTTTGTTTGTAGCTAGGAGTTAGCTTATCAAAGTCCATCTTCAAAGAGGTGTTACCGGGACTAAGTGATTAACTTATTACTCTTTTTCTCCCCCACCAGATCGTATATTGAAAGAATCCAGCAAGGTTTTTGAAGATGTTTTGGAAAGCTTTTATTCAATTGATTGTATTAAGTCACAGTTTGAAGCTTGGCGCTCGAAGTACTTTGCTTCTTATAAGGATGCTTATATTGGTCTCTGTTTGCCGAAGCTGTTTAACCCTTTAATCAGACTTCAGCTGCTTATCTGGACTCCTTTGGAGGTAAGGTCCTCTGCAAGCAACTTCTGTGTAAGCTTCTATATAGTGGTTCTTTCACACTTCTGCAGGGCAAAGTAAATTGCACCTTTGATGTGTACCTCTCATAAATGAATGTTCTAGACATGAAGTTTAAAATGGGCACCTCTCTTGAGGTGAAGCTTTTCTGGGGAGTTTCTGGACCGTTGTCCTCTGTGTTCCCAGCAGGCCAAGAATTCAGTTCAGCACATGCCAGTACCTTTTCAGTGAGTGGTGTAGACCAAAGAGCCAAACAGCTTCTTAAATAATACATGTAGGTTTTTAAAATACTTAAGAGAAAATTGTGATTCTAGAGATTTTGTTTCTTCAGAAGTGGAACTAAGAAGCCTCTTTTTATGTTGACTTACAATCTGTCTCTATATCATGCATCTTTCTCTCACCTACACCTTTATACCTGTAGAACTCTGGCTGGCAATTTCCAAGTCTTCCTTGTAGTACTCATTGCCCAGTTATTAGGTAGGGAACATGGGAAAAGCAGGACAGTATTGTTGCAGCCCAGTGTCCCTAGCACTTGTTAGTTGTCCAGCCTGCATATGTGTGCTGACAGGAGTAGCCATCGGGACAAACAGTTTGGGTAGCTTTTTGACTCCCTCTCTGTTCTTCCTACTAATGAAAGCTCTTGTAAGGTATTTCTGTTGCAGTCAGGTGCTTATTTTCACAGTACTGGTAGGAATTTATTTTTCTCTGCAATGTTGGCTTTTACTGGGGAATGGGAGTGGGTCAAGGCACAGAGTGAGTGCAATTGCATAAGCTTGTTTGGGTTTGGTTTGGGTTTTTTTTTGGAAACCAGGCTAATAAGGCATATTGTTATCTTGCAAATTTTAGCTCATCTACACCACTCTCTGCAGATGTGTCAGCCTATCTCAAATGACTGAATCTCTCCTTTTTCAGCAGTGTTTTTTACTGAACTACTAAAAGAATATTTGTAGAAGGGGATCTTCTGTTGCCTCTGCTCTTATTGCAGAGGAAGGGAAGCACATGTGTTCAGAGAGCATTCAGAGTATTTAATTTGAATAAACAAAGGAAAATCTGTGAAAGGTGTGCTCATTAAATTTAAGATTGATTTTGTACGTTTTTCCCTTCCCCCATACTATTTCTATGTGAGTTTCCAGGCTGGCAAAACAAAGCTCAAGTTAGATGGAGACATGGTGCAGAATTCTCAAATCTAATCATTTTCACTACTCCCATGTTACTGGTCCTGTTAGGCACTTTTTGTTAAGTTAGAAAAATTACAAGACATTCATAAAAAAAGTGCTTTAATCCAGAAGCACAATTTTATAATATAGCACAAATGAACTATACTTCTCACTTTTCTCCTAATCTGTGGGGTTTTATTTGACTCAGGTGTAATTAGAAGTTAAAATCTGTAGGGCAACAGCTGCCCAAAAAAAGGAGCCTTTCTTCCACCATTTTCCACTTTCATTAGATCTAGTGATTAAGTGGTTGTAGAGTGACTTGGTTCCTTTGGCTGATTATAGAAAATTGACCTTGCTCCCCATCCTCTCTTGGGTTTTGATTTGGATGGGTTGTCCATATATACTAATCTGACCTGTGATGGCATGATTAGTAGTGTCCACGCAAAGAGGCAGAACATTTTCTTCGCTTCTCAGGCATCAGGCTTGCCTGTGTTTCTGGAGGAAGTAGTATCACTGTTTCAGAAGTAGGGGAGCCAAAGCAGGTAAAGTAATTTGCCCATCATTGTGCCAGATTAAGAGCCTATTTGACCTTGAAACACTGTATCTTTTTTATTATTATTATTCTTTCCAGTGCAGATGAGTACCTGACACAGACAAATTTCAAGTTGTTATTGTGCTCAGTTGCTGCTTACCCTGCCTGCTTAACACACTTGGTAGACTGTTTTAAGGTAGTTTTCTGTTTTGTGGGTGTATCATACTTGGATATGTAGTACTTCTTTTTTTTCTTTAATGTGTTGACTTCAAATCTCTTAGGAGTCTAACCTCAATTCTTTTTTTTTATTAGGGCAAGTGTCGAGATTTTGAGACTATGTTGTGGTTTGAATCATTGCTGTTTTATGGCTGTGAAGAACAGGAGCAAGTGAAAGATGATGCTGATATTTCACTATTGCCTACCATTGTAGAGAGGGTTGTTCTTCCTAAATTAACAGGTATAGTCTTAGAAATAAAATGGGGGGAAAGGGGTGTTTGCAGCAGCTGATGCTTGTTTGTGCTTTCAGATTTTACTGCTTTGTAAATTATTGTGTGACAGTCTTAGTGCCTCTATTTGAGTATTTGCAAAGTGGAGTAATTCTTTAATCTCTTACAGTGATTTCTGAAAATATATGGGATCCTTTTTCCACAACACAGACTTCTAGAATGGTAGCCATTGTACAGAAACTAGTAGATGGATATCCTACAGTGGTGAATGCAGAAAACAAAAATACACAAGTAAGTTGTTTTATCTTAAATATCTTGCATAAGTTCAGGAATTTGGTTATATTTTTAATACTCTGTGTTGGAGAACACAGCATGCTTAGTGAGGAGCGGGATAGAGAACTTTGCAGTTATTTCATGCTCTGCAGCCCAGTTACGGAGAGTCAAGTACAGTGATAAATTAGGAGGAGGAACTCAGTGAAATCTCCCCAAAATAGATGCTAGAGATAAAAAGAGAGATCAAATGTACTAAGACTTGTTGGTCTGCAGTTTTGCTTTAAGAGTTAGCTACAAATAGCCAGGCTTTTTTTTTGGTAGTTCTTTGTAACCTTCGTATTGCCTTGAAATTTGATTGCTTTACTTCTGTGAATACAAGAACCAGTGTTATAAGTTCCAGTGCCGTAGCTAAGGCAATGTATGCACTGCCTCTAGAATAATGGGAGATAGGCCAAAGTGCGTGTCTGTGGGGAAGTTAGCAGAAAATTAAAAATGACAAAAGCCCTGACTTCACAGAAGCTAATCGTGTGGCCAAGATTAACCATAAAGTAATTCCATCGCCTTCAGTTTTTATTGAAATCATCAAATGTCATCTCTGTTAAATGTTATAGGCTTCTCTAAGACTTTATTTATATGTGTGCTTAAGTGCGTATGCCTTTTACTGTTAGGGTCACAAATGTTCTCTGTTGCTTTGAAAATCAATTTCTGAGTGGTTTAACTACGAAGCAGTGCTTTGGACACGTCAAAAAAAACCCAAACTACTTATCTTTTTCAGATGCTTTTAAAGGCATTGTTGCTAAGGATGAGGAGAACACTAGATGATGATGTATTCATGCCTTTATATCCAAAAAAGTAAGTTTGCTTTCAACTATCGTGTTAGACCTTTATTAGCCAGTCGCTGTCTTCTGTCTGTAGTTAACAGGGGTTTTTTTCCCAGTATGGTTAACTGGCAGGATACAGGAGATCTTTCATTATCATGCTGTGAGGATTTAGCAAAGACAAGCAGAGTGGAAGGGAGTATTTATAGAAATTAACTGTGTGTGGGAAGGAGAAAGCCAGCAAACTCCAGACAGAGGTGGTCTTCGTTGCTCATTAAAGAAATCTCTTACTTTCCAGCATCTTAGAAAACAAGAACTCTGGTCCATATTTGTTTTTCCAACGTCAGTTTTGGTCCTCTGTTAAGGTAAGTCAGTAAATACATCCAGTAAATCTTTGGTCTAGACAGTGTAGCAATAAAATCCTCTTCAAATTTGTGGAAAATGGTAGATGGAAATCGCTTTAACTTTGTTTGAAAGAACTCTAAATTAGGATTCTTAGTCTTATAATGCACTGGGCCCTCTTCAAAAGATTGCCAAGTGAAAGCACCATCATTTTAACTTGTACGTTGTAGGTTTACTTGGCGTACTCAGCCCAGGGTTTTTTAGTGTCATTGTGCTTGTCAGAATAAAATACACTGCATTTATTTCACTTATATGGGAATGAGAGAGCTTGGTTTGTACTTTTTTTTAACATATAGTGTGAGAATCTTCATGAAAATAACTTGTTCCCTTTTGGAAAGCTCGCTTCTATTTGTGAAGTGTAAGAGCATTTGTTGGTTTAATTGATTTAACCTTGGTTTAGTTAAAATGATAAAGACTGTGAAAGGAAAAGTCTCTGTGTGTGGAATGTGCAATATAGAGTTTGAAAAGATCTGTAAGAAGCTATGACTGTATCACCAGTAAAAGGCTGTGGGGAAAATTAACTCCCAACTAAACGGCAAAATAAAGTATGACACCCATCTTGATTGAACTGCTGATCTCCATGATCGTGCAAACAGAACTCTTATCTGGAATTTTCTATTTAAATTGCAGTAGTGAGGGAGACTATTCTCAATAGGTTTGCAATCAGTTCATTTACTTAAAATATTTGGCACTGAGTTCTTTCACTTTGAAATAAAAGTCAACTTCTTAAATGCTGTCTAAAGCAAAAAATGCACAAAGCTCATTTATTAAAATAACTGCTGCTGTTAAAAGTGAAACAGAGCACTTATTTAGGGCTTGTGTCTCTCTCAAGAGTGAAATTGCCTGCCGCTGGCAATATCTATCGGAGCTCGGCCAGTTTAGAAGTATGTGTGCTGTTACCACTGTTTTATTTTAGGGAAGCATTAAAAATACAGCTGTCTTGCGCTCACAAGTCAGTTATAGCACCACAGACGAGCAGGAATAGAAGCTGGGAGGCAAGCACGCCTTTACTGTTTCCTGC